ATATTTATTAATATATAGCAATTTAATAAAAAATCTAATAAAAAGAAATTAAATAATTTAACTAAATGTAATTAGGAATTCAATAAAATATTTGTAATATTTATTAATATATAAATCTTATATATTAGAAATAATATTTATTAATCTAAAATACTTCAATAAATTTAAAAAGATGATGTGCATAATGATTCGTGTAGTTTGGTGAAAATACAAAACTGCAAAAATAGTGGTTGAGGATAAAATTATTATTTTAAAATAATTAACAACCAACCAGTTAAATTTAACGGAAAATGGATCAAAATCATAATATAGCGTCTGAAAAAGGATTAAATCTACAGTTTTTCAAATGTTTGGAACTTTACCAAATAAAATAAAAAAATAAGGAACATTTTTACTATTTTATCTTTAAATAAGTTAAATTGTCATCAATTGAATTGCCGACATTTATTTTTCTTTCTTTCTAGATTCATTCAAAAATGATGTAATTGATGGTACAAATTCAAATTTCTATTTTACACCTTTATGTTTTCATATACTATTAATTGGTGTTTTCACATTAACAAACATTTATTTTAAATGATTGATGCTTTTAGATATATGAGAACTCGACCAGTGTAAAAAGGAATTTGTGATAGACTATTGAAGCTCGAGGATCTGTTCGTCTGTTAAGCTAAGACCATAAGAGTTTATTATTATTTGGGATAAGTTATAAGATGATTTATTATTGTTGGAAAACATCGTTTTTTTTTCTGTTAGTTTAACATATATTGAGTCATATATTGAATAATCAATATAGTTTAATAAGATGAAAACTTATCACCCTCATCTTTAATAATGTTTTAATTTATCTCATTGATTTAGTGTTAATATTCATTAAAGCAATGCATTGTTTTATAATCAAATATTTAAAATTAATATTAAAAGCTATTTATTAAAATATTGAACGTCTAGCAATATATTATTAAAATGTTTTGTATTAAAATTTGACATTTTAAAAAATAATAGTTAAATGAGGGATTTTTATAGAACTTTCATAGAGGAAGATAAATTAGTTAAATTAATAAAAAAAATATTATAAAAGATTTTAAACATTGAAGAACTTATTTAATAAGTTGTCAATATTAATGGGTTGATGATGTAACAATGTTTTTACCCTTTAATATACGCGTATCATTAAAGATGCTCTAAAGGACTAGATATGAAGAAAATTACTTGGAAGAGTAGGGATGATCTATTAACATTCAAGAGTTTACATAAGAATTGAGGTAAATTTTAAATTTCAAATTTACTTTTAAGTTGTTATTGTAGAATTATTTAGGAAAAAAGCAAATTAAAAAGAAAAAAAAAAGCGCAAGTCTATCCAGCGATATTTTATAAAGGCATTTACACCTTATTTCCGAGTTCAATTTAAAAGGGGAAATGACAAAAAAATGGATAGTAGTGAGAAGAAAACTAACAGAAATTGGTGTTTAAAAGAAGGAAGTTGAAGGAAATATAAATATTATTTTCGTTACTATTTTTCTTTTTCCAATTTGTAAAGATTTCGAGAGATATAATTAAAATGTTTAATTTTATTTTAATTTTTTCTTTAACTCGAGAACAAAAAATACAAACTTATTTTACATTCATTTCTTTTCTTTTCTATCATTAGTTTCTTTTCCGTTCTTTTATATTTTAGCTAAAACTCACAAACTAGATGTAAGTAATTTTTTGAGGTGTTGTTAATTTTCCAAATTACAAATAAACACAAAAGAATAATCAACATGGATTATATACCAAAACATGCCTATTCACCGATGTACAAATATGTATATAAAAGGACCACTCAACAAGTCTTTCATCGCATAACCGTCACTTATGACTAAGCTCTCGTCTCTTTTCTTAGATCCTAAAACCACGACAAATAACACGTAATTAAGCTCTTGTTTAAGATTTGAGGGTGTATTCAAATTTCACCTATCATTTTTTTTAGTGTTACATTAGCTTTCATTTTACTCATGTTTCACCCGTCTAAAGGTAGGAAATTGTCATTTTTCATTATTTTTTTTTTTAAATAAAAATAATTCAGAAAATAAATATAATTCCTTAAAATGATTAATAAACACAGCGATTAATTAAACTATAAATATTTTATCACTTAAAATAAAAATTACACAAAAATACCAAGATTAAAAAATCCTAGAAAATAACCAACGTTAAAAAAACCTAAAAAAAAACCATATGCATTTAAAAAACCAAAACGGTCTAGGGGAAATATTTTTTCATGATTTTGTCATTCTTCTTCATAATTAGCTCGAAGGCTAGTCTCGAAAATTTATTGATTTTCCCATCAAGAAATTCATATCATCTATTTCTTGCCTTTCTGCATGCTCCTCCTTTTTTCGGCTTATTTTTTGTTGTCGAATGCCAAGCGTTCAATAAAATTTAGATTGTATCGATCAAATGTTGTTATTTTCCACACTTCTTCTGCGTCCATGTTGAAATCCGATACATTGGAAGACAACCCCTTCCCCATCATTTTTGCTTTGTCCCTACCCATCGGTCGAACAATTTCTTCTAATTCGAGTTTGTCGTCCTCATTTAAATCGAGGCCGACTCGAGCATCAGAAGAAGTTGTGTATCTATTAGAACCTGTTTTTTGTTCTTTTTAATTATGCTCCTAGTACGAAGTCGACTTCATATTTCTTCCACCTTGGACTAAGAATTAACAATTTCCAATGCTCGTTAAACTTGAATGTCTTTCCCGTTTCCTCGCAAAAACAAAATGTAAAGCGTCTTGGAGAATTTTTTCATCTCCTTGACCGCTTTTCCTTTGGGTTTTTAGATTGTTGTTAACCCATTCATTTTTTAAACGACTTTCACTATTTCTCGAAAATTTGACTTTATTTGGTGCTTGGTATGATACTCGTATTCTCTACCCTACTCCATGCGAAATCTTTCAAGAATGCATAGCGAAAAATGTCCATGCGCTTATTTATTTCCTTGTGCTGAATCCTCCAAAATGTCAACCCAAGCTTGTATAACACTAACTCCTCTTGGGAGTCCATGTTTGAGGCTTCTGGTTTTGTCGTCTTTTGCACTTGTTGTTTTCCTTTGCAGTGTGGTGAGGCATGGGGGTAGGGGTTGAGTTCCCCTTATAGTTTCATCGTGCGACTCATCGAAACTTTCGTTTTATGGTTGAGAGTGAAAGCGTGGGGGTTTGGCTTTGGGTTTGAGATTGATAGAGTGTGGTTTGGATTTGTGGTTGATTTGGTGAAAATTTATCAGGAAAAATGTCAAAGTTGTTAGACTAACATTCGATACTTTTATGGGTAGTATTTCCTAACATTTTGGTATTGAAATTGTGGAGGAGATTGAATGGGGGCACTAAGTTGGCGATGATACACCGGTTGGGATGAATCGAAGGTGAAAACTTTTCGAGTTTTACATAAACTCGTAACATTGATTTTTCTTCTATCAGATGTTGGGTTTGGATTTTTGGGATTGTTGGGGTTCATTTTTTAAGAAATAAATATGAATTGATAGAAAAATGTATGATTTTGAAGGTGAAAGTAATGGCCTATTTATATGTGTGTAAAATGGTAACATATACATACATACATACATACATACATACATACATACATACATACATACATACATATATATATATATATATATATAAAATAAAGAAACCCTAAAAATGCATAAAAAAATACCTAGAGATCACAAAACTTTTTTTTGACATTTTTTAAGAAAAAATCGCTGAAAAAAAATTTGAAAAAAAAAAACTTTTTTTTTTAGAATATATATATATATATATATATATATATATATATATATATATATATATATATATATTTATTTATTTATTTATTTTTTTTTCAGCGAATTTTTATAAAAAGCTACGATCTTTTATAAAAAAAAAATTCAAAAAAAAGTCTTGTGACCTCTAAGTATTTTTTTATGCATTTTTATGATTTTTAGGGTTTTTTGTTTTCCATAGAACCTAAACCTATATATATATATATATATATATATATATATATATATATATATATATATATATATATATATATATATATATATATATTCGAATTCTAGTCGTTAAAGTTAAAAAAATTAAATATATCCGTTAAGAGGGGGGATTTTTCAAAAAAAAAAAAGGAAAAAAATTTGCCCAGTGGGATGAAGAGAGAGGAGGCATGGTAGCCTCTCCTCACTCCTAAACCGCACCACCGAAATCGTACCAACGGTGCAGTGTTCCGGCCGCGGATCCGGTTTCCGTGCCCTCCTTCCTGCCCTGCTTGGCCTAACAAGTTCATGTATGTGAGGAAGATTAAATTTAAACAAATTAGACAAAATGACTCTAATTAAGCTTATGTGTTACAATTTCATATAAACTGCAAGTGTGTCACCATAAAACCATATATTTTTCGGAGTTTAATAAAATGATCACAATAATTGCAAAAATATGTGATCAAGCTAGTGGGGAAATGTTTTCTGATACAAAGGACGACTGTTAAACTTTCACATGTTCTATTTATTCCTCACGAAGAATATGTATCATCGATTCAGCGATCCCTACAAATAAGCTCGATAATGATTTGCAAATCGTCATTTCCCGTCGCAAGTAGTTATGTTTTGCTCATTCCCGACATACCATTCAACCACGCAAACATGAATTCATAATGTGTAATTGCTAAAGAGTCGTATGGCTACATATATCGGTCTATTTAAGGGTTTCAAAATTATATCTTTAGATAGTTGTAACATATTTGCAATGTGATTTTTGATGTCATCCAAATTATTAGTCATTTATGTATGCTCTATATTTTATTGTGTTTTCATACCTCAACACGTGAATGTGTCATTCCCAAGTCAATAACGACGGGGTACTCCCCCCTCTAGCTATTACTTTACGTGTTTAAGTTTAAACATAACGTAGAAGAATTAAAACAGATAGCTTATAATTATTTCCGAATGAGAAGGATGAAAATGGAAGAAAGTACAAGGAACAAATGGAGAGAGAGATCCAGGAGGGATGGAACCAAGTTCACCAGAGAAAGAAATTCGGGAGAGAGTTTGACATAAATGGGAAAACTGTAACTTTCTATGTTCAGAACTTCCCTCCAGATTGGAATGAAGTGGCATTATGGCGGATGTTCAGCAGATTTGGGATTGTTGTAGATGTTTGTATTGCCAAGAAACTGATCCGTCTCAAGAAGATCTTTGGGTTTGTTAGATTCATACGGATCCAAGAAATTCTTTCCTTTTGAAAAAAGACTCAATTAAATCTACATTGGAGCCCAAAAGCTTGAAGTCAATGTGGCTCGGTTTGATAGGAAAGAGATAGTGACTCGAAGGAAAAATCCTCAAGACGTGGAAAGCATACTTACACCCTCAGCAAGGAACCCATGCACCCATGCCAGGTCGTTTGTTGATGTTGTCAAGGGGACAAATAAAGATAGAAAAGAGAAAATAGAGGCTAAAGAGACGAAAACTACTGGGAAAAGTATTAAGTTGCTATCCTTTGGTGGGTCAAAAGAAGCCATGCAGAATACTTTGGTGGGGGAGTTAGAAAATTTTCAAGCTCCTATGAATGTGAAAGCTTTCCATGAAGTAAAGGGATGCCCATTGATCCAATTAAGATACTTGGGGGGTTAAACATGCTCCTTGAATTCGAAAGCACAAGTGAGAAGGAAGAGTTTCTAAATAATGGAAAAGAGATTTGGCAACCATGGTTCAAAAATGTCACATCCTGGGAAATTAAACATAATTTCAATGAACGAATCGCGTCTCTAATTATCCAAGGTGTGCCCCAGCATGCATGGTGTGAAGAGGTTTTCAACATCATTGCGAGTAAGTGGGGGTTAGTGGTTATTCCAGAAGAGTGTGATATTGATTCTCCTAATTTGGCATTCGGGAGGGTTGGAATCCTCGCATCTCACCTCGGTAGCATCAGTTCTTTTATTACAATTATGGTGGACGGAACTCCATATATGATAAATGTTATGGAGGACATCTTTGAATCCCTGAAGCTCAGTCCGGTGCTTGGTGCAAATGATTTCTACCAGAAGATGACATGGTGGGATGAAGATAGTATTGGTGAAAATGACAGTCTCAATAGTGAAGTCCCGATTCAACCTGAGCATATGTTAGCGTCACCGGAATCATCCCCGACGAAGTTTCAGCAACCAAGTCACCGGGAAAGGGAAGAGGAACAGTCGTATGGTAATGTCTTAGGCTACGGAACCAAGGAGTCTCCTCGAAACTCCAAATCTGGGGAACCTCAAATGGCAAGCGTTCCGCCTCTGTCGTCGGACTTAGGTACTGCTATGTCTGGAAATACACCCTCCTTGTGCCTTAATAGAAAATGGGCCCATTCCTCCCTTAATACGAATGGACATCATCCCAGTAATTCTTTGGACTTAAACAGAGCCCCGTCTCAATCTATCCCATCCAAATCTTCAGATCCCCACTCTGGTCGTATTAACAGGCCATCCACTCCAGTGCATCCGTGTTTGCATAATGTCCCCTCTCCCATTCAAATAACCCCCTTCACTCTCCCCATCGGTGTTCGCCAAAACTCGCAGGGGGATCTGTCCAGGTCATAAGAAATTCTGATGCCATCAACCTCTCAGACCTATCATGTTGAATCAAACGCCACATCTTTGGAGGTTGCCAAGACAATTGAAGTTGGAGAATCTGTCGGATTCCAGGTTGGGAATCGATTTGACCAACTAAAGTCAATGATTAAGACCCATGGAGTGACTATTATTGACCAATGAATATTTTCTCCAATAATATTTGTGGAGTTGGGTGTGAGGTAAAAAGGAGCTGGCTTAGAGACTGATGTATTAAAAATCACTCTTTCGTTGTAGGTCTGTAGGAGACTAAATATTTGGAGGTTAAACATAAATTGGATAGACAAATATGGGGCTGAGTTAATTGACCCAACGGGGTTTTCTGGAGGAATCGCTTCTCTATGGGATCCCTCCCTCTTCAAGGTCTATGACTCTATAAAAGGTGACAACTTTCTCGTCATTAAAGGTATGTGGCTGAAGTTGAGAAATTTTTTTTGTTTTGTAAATGTGTATGCCCCACAAGAACCATCAAGGAAAAGGGCTCTGTGAAATAAGTTATCTGATCTCATAAACTCTAACCTCGACTCATGTTGGTTCGTATTTGGAGACTTTAATGTCACCCGTCTACCTGAAGAAAGACTTGGCTCCGCTTTCTATAAAAATAGTGCATATCACTTCAATAAATTCATTCATTCTCTCGGATTAGTGGAAATTAAAATGGGGGGGTCGTAGATTTACGTACATGAACTCATCAGGGCATAATCACAGTAAGCTTGATAGATTTCTAGTCTCTCTTAATGCTATTGAGTCTTGGCCAAACCTAAACGTCACAACTTTGCCGAAGGTTCATTTTGATCACTGTGCTATCATCTTATCCGCTTCTCACCTTGATTTTGGTCCAACCCCATTCAAGTTTTATAATTCTTGGCTAAAAGACCCTGGTTTTGAGGATATTTTAAGAAGCGGTTGGCCACCCAATATTAACTCAAAACATCGCCAACTATTATCCCCTCTTTTTCTTGTTGCAGGTAAATTGAGGAATTTAAAAGAGCACATTAAAGCATGGAGGAAGGAAATTTTAGAAAAACCTAGTAAGGAGATGATTGAGCTTACAAAAAAACTAAATGACATTGACTTGTTGGCTGAGATGGATCTGGCTAATGAATGGATAGTCGATAGAATGCGTATCAAAAAATCATGGAAATCGAGTCCAGGCGTATTGAAGATTTAAAAAAAAAAAATCTAGATCTAATTGGGCTCTAGAGGGTGATGAGAATAGTCCGTTCTTCCATGGCTTGATTAATAAACACCGAAGATCTCAAAGGATTAATGGAATCAAGGAGAATGGTTTCTGGATAGTTGATCCTGTTGCAATCAAAGAGATGGTCTCTAAACACTTTGTTGTGGGATTCGTTGAGCCCATTAAATCACGCCCTAAATTTCTAAATCCAAACTTGAAAAAATTACTCCCCCACACGATTATGCATTTAGAATAGCCTTTCTCTGTGACAACTCGAAATTTCCATTATATACAAACAGTATCACTTCAATAGAAGTTATAACAGTCATAGTCGATTTTCAGACTTTTCGTATAAGTTGGAGTAATTTAGGGTTTACACTTCAGTAAACATCAGGAGAGTGGATGCACTACGGTTTTGTGCGACACTGTTATTCCAACACTCGGTAATATTAGAAATCAATTCCGGAATAAAAATATTTTCTGCCAAAATATTTCAGGACTATAAATAGATTTCTGAACTAAATTCATTCATTATTCACATTTCCAACTAGAGAAAAGCCATTTTCTCTCTCACTGATCTTCGGGTTTTCGTCCCAAATCGTGAGTACACTTCTCTAGTTGTTATTTAATGCTTGTTATATGCTTAATAACATTGTTTACATGTCAAATATGTAAGATCCGGGAGTTTACCGCCCAAGAACGTTCTTGGGGACTAAACTCCAAAACAAAGCCTAAAGGCTACCTAGTCCCATTTCCTTGTTAGGTAACTAGTTAAGGACATTATGTATGATCATTTGAGGCTAGAACACAATTAAGAACACCTAGTTTTAGGAGTTTACGGCCCAAGAGTTTCTTGGACCGTAAACACCAATTTCAAGGGCTTAAATGTGCCCTAATCACTCCTAAGGCTTTAAGACATTAACTCTCTATTACTTCTCGCTATTTTGGAGACTTAAACACATCAAAAACACCCCTTAAAGGGAGTTTACGACCAAGGAATAACTCTTGGGCCGTAAACTCCAAGTAAAGGCACCAAAGTGTGCCTAAGGTCCCTTTTAGCCTTAAACAAAAGTCTAGAAATTATCCTTTGTGTGCAAGAGGCTTGAATGAATTAAAACACCCACCCCATAGGAGTTTACGGCCGTAAACTCTAGGGGATATGGTTTTTTGGCCGTAAACTCCTCAAAGGAGCATTCTAAGGCCCTAAACTACCTTAAGGATTAAACCACCCATGCTAGGCTTATTCTAGAAATCATTTAACACTTTAAAACACCCAAAAACCACCAAGACAAGAGTTCATGGCCGTAAACTCAAGGGTTTACGACCGTAAACTCCTTGTGTGGAGTTTATTGGGTAGTAAACTCTTATTCAAGGTCTTTTGGTACATTAAACCCTTTAACCTTGTCCCATAACAACCTAGAAGCAACCCTTAGGACCTATAACACTTATACAAAGTGTTTACATGTTCCTGAGTGTCCCAACTTATTTTATTTAGTTATTATTGGGCTAATTAGTTATATATATGCTCATTATACGATAACTAGGCTTGTGCGTGTGAACAAGTCTCCGTTTGCCACCTAGCACGGTACCCGATACTTCAATCAAATCCACTCACCACAAGTGAGTTCATACCCCTTTAATTAACCTTTGAAATGATTTTAAATGTTTTAAATACTTTATGGGGGGGATACTGATGGGTTTTGGTCATAAGACATCCTATGTGCTCATACAAACCCTAATGCTTGGATCTAGGTTTCTCTATTGTACATGCTTTGAATCCAAGACTATAAACCCTAATTCTAGCATACAAGTAATCATATTAATATGTAATTAGGTTTAAGATCATACCTTGATAATTCCACCTTGGATTGACTTTGGAATGCTTAGAGTCACAAGTGTCACTCCTCTAATGGCTCACAAACACCATAAGCAAATGGAGAAGGTATAAAGAAAGAGGTAAGAGGTTAGAATTCGTATCTAGGACCTCTTGGGAAGGGATACACGAATTCATGACCCTAGGGGTGTTTATATAGGTGTAGAGATAGGGTTTCAGTCATTATCCTTATCTAGTTGATTATCCATTAAGCAACCAATAAGATAATCCTTGAATCCTTATCATACTCGAATTCTAAGGTTTTTCCAACCTTAAATTCGTCCACCATATAAATAAGATAATCCTTACCTTATTTTGTAACTATCACATAATTACAAATCAACCCCTCTAGTTTAATTAATTACATTTGATCACAAAATTAATTCCCTAATTAATTATTGACCAATATTAATTAAACAAATATGATTTCTCCTTTAATATATTATTCTTATAACATATTAATAAATCATATTATCCTCTCTCTCTTTATTCATTTCTCCAATCAAGTTGCTTTGGTGAAGGCAACCCAAAAGGACCATGCACCATCGGGTCAAGTACATACCAAAATAGTTATGGACTTAGACACTAATCCAACAGTCTCCCACTTGGATAAGTCTAACAACTATTCTACGTATGACTTCAGATCCTGATCTGCAATCGTAGCTTTCCAAAGCCGCTGTCAACTCTGATCATATCAGATACGCGTGTCCTTAGATAAGGGATCATATATTCCTCCATTCTAGATATCGTATGAGATATGATTTCAAATCATTCTCTTTGTACTATATCTCGATTTCCGATTTATGATGACAGACTAACTGAACAAATCAAATTAGCCCTAGCCCGGCCGAGCATTTACGTATGTCATCACTAAACCATCGAGGGGCCCAAAGATATCGCTTTTATCCTACCTTGGATAAAAGGAACGGATAAACTTTTATACAATGATTGCTTGCACTCACTAACCAAATCACACACAACAATATGTTTTATAACACCAAGTTACTAGTGCGTTTACATATTATCAATGTGCAACCGATTAGCAAGATACAACTCACACATCTCGGTTTCAAGAATATAAGATGTTATCGTCTCACTAATCACTCGAGATAGTGATCCAAGTGAGCGTGGGTTTAATCCAATGCTCAAATCATATTCATAAGCACTCATGAACGTTGCAGCAAACATTTGCTTATGTCTAATACTTTTCTAGACAATCCACACACCAATTCATGACAGTCTTCATTCATATCTACTTCCAACATATGAACGACTGTGGCCCGTTCGAATAATTCGATTATTCTTAATAAACTCAATTATTCTGGAAGTCAAAACATGCAAGGTGAAACACAAGAATAATACTAATCCCATATGGCCTCAAACCTTTGAGTATAAACAAAACGTTTTATTTATCACCATATCGATTACTCATTATTTGTCGTTTCGGGTAATCAACTTCTTACTTGAATTCCAACACTTGTCCCATGCTCCTAGCATGCACACAATGTTTACCTATGGTTCTTACTTTTGTGAAATAGACAAATTGAACACATTTCCAATCATTCTCATTTTACAACTCCAAATCCATTTTCTTAAGTGTAAGAATATCAAATTCTTGTTACTTATAGAATATACTAGATTCTAACACTTTATGCAACGATCCTTTTGTAATGTCACTGCACCAAAGTCTCAAAGACTATTGCCAATGATATTACAAAGTCCTCTATCGGAGATTGTTACAAGACAATTCCTTAGATACGATGTCTCTCACTCAAAGTACATTCCTTTGAACATCCTTTTGCATAAAAGTTTCTAATCTAGACATAGATTTTCAATATTCAATTCAATATAGATACATTTCCATATTTTCCATATGACAACTAATTTCTTAATAGAATCTTATTTATTCGTAATGAT